ATTTTCAAATCTTATATAGAGCATGGCAGTCAACAGATCTGCATTAGGATTTTCAAGGTGCAACATCAGATTTATAGATGTGCAATGTTAGAGATTTAAGGTTCACTCCTCATTCCTAACTGTTCTTTCATGTATAACTTCTGACCTTTCCCATCCCTTCAAAAGAAGCTTTTCAAGGTTTCTTTTCTGCTTCTTTTTCCTGCAAGAAGGTTCCAAGCCACAGCACGTTGCTAACAAATGCATTGACTGACCTGTAGGGGAAAAGCAATTCTTCACCTTTCTCTTTACTTTTAAGGCTAGGTGGTTTACTCTCGGCAAAAAAGCAAATAATGGAAGCAGCCTTTTCTCTTTAGGACAACTGCAGTTTTATGAGCAGGGAGACCTAATGCACATCACTCCATGGACCAGAGTAACTCTGCAGGATGGGAGACTGAAGGGCAGCATGTCTAGATCTTTGACATCTCTTTATATTGTGGGTTTATGTCAAACTCAACCTGTAACGGTTTAATTTTTATTAACGGGATTTCACATCGAAGCAGCCTTTTCTCTTTAGGACAACTGCAGTTTTATGAGCAGGGAGACCTAATGCACATCACTCCATGGACCAGAGTAACTCTGCAGGATGGGAGACTGAAGGGCAGCATGTCTAGATCTTTGACATCTCTTTATATTGTGGGTTTATGTCAAACTCAACCTGTAACGGTTTAATTTTTATTAACGGGATTTCACATCTTTAGCATAGTAGTTAGGGAAATAGCATCCTACAAGACAGAGTATCAAATGAATGTAGGTCAGAATAACAGCATCAGACTGTGTCTGGTGCAGGCCCCTGACCCATCCCCCTGTGATAAACAGCACAGACCCCCTCAGGTGAACACACACCCTGTCTGTGACTGATCACATTTGTCATTCCAAACATTGCTTCAGAGGGGCTTGGAGCTGCTTAAGGGCTCTTCTGTAGGCAGAAGAAAGAAAGAAAATCTGTATTTAAATCTGTTCCATTAGCAGATTCCAGTGTTCAGTTTTTCTGCTCTTTTAGCACAAAATTCAAGCAGCATTTATGAACTGCTATCGTTCAGCAAATTCCTTTCAGTGAACTAATACCTCTAACTCAAAGCTACCTGATAGCTGGCCTTGAAATTACAGCTAAATACTACTCAATTCTAAAGGTGGAGCTTGGAATTCACAAAACTGTATTCTTTAACTGTGTCAACCCACAGGCTGTACACAAACAGTGTAAGTAAGGTATATAATAAATTTATGCTTAAAGCTTTGTATGTTATAGAACAGTTAAGAGATGAAAATAAATAAATAATTTTTCCCTCTCTGGCACATTTCCTCCTCATGTACCTGCAAAAATTCAAATTAAAAAAAGCATCTACTGAATGTAGGTTTATTCCTAGACTTGCAGAGTTCTTGGTTTATACAGACAAGGTAACAAAGCAGCAGTTTTATGGAGATACCTCTGCAGGCATGCATCAGAGTTGTAGCTGCAAACAGGAAGGAAAAAGACATTGTGGTACGTTGTTCTAGGGTGAAGTTCAGCCACAGCTTTACCACAAATATGGCATCATTAATTATAGCATAATTCTGCTCTACATTATTCAAGCACTTGGGATCTGGCAATCATCAGATGAATGTTTCCACAAACCATAGCTCTTACTGGGAATTTCACGTGTAGGAAATGCTGTGAACAGAAGCTGCAGCAAACTGTCTCAAAGACACTTATCACTTCTTGCCTTCACTACTCTGGAACTGTTTTATGTTTCTCTCTCCATCTTCTGCTGAACATTTTTGTTTCCCGTTCTTAACATTCACTGTTAATACACTTTGAATGAAGCTTATTTGAAGTAAATTCTTATTTGAAATCTTTTCTCTCCACTCAATAAAATTTTCTGCAGTGCTCCCATTACACTTGAAGAACTTGAACATACATATTTGCTCAATTTCTTCATAACTCCATTTCAGCATTTGGCCTTGCCCCTTATTGCAGTATCCCAGTTTCTGCCAGTTTCACATCTTAATGCAATGGCTTTGGCCAAAAAGTGACCTAATGTACATAAATTCTTGTGATCTAAACCACTGTGGTATTGAAGAGCTAAGCACTCATCTCTGTTAAGACAATGAACTCTTCCTTCAGTTGCAAACCTCAGCTTGTAGCCTGTGGGCTCTGCTGTCCTTGCAATCCCACTTCCTGCTGCTCTGCAGCCAAAGGATTAGCATTAAACTAAGCATTTCAAAGCCTTGTCTGTAAATCTCTGGATCCCATAACTGCAGAAGCTGATGAGAAAGTTCAATCACCACTGAACAGCAGGTCACCTATCAGGTTATTTACATTCTGTCTTTCCCATTGGAGTTTCAGTAGTGTGACGTGTCCAAGAGCTAAAATTCAACTTACTTTGGAGAGAATTCCAGTCCTAAGCTTTTAAACTCCCTTAAAATACAGACCTCAGGAAGTCAAATCACACAGGCTTCCCTAAAAACACTATTCTAAATCTTTTTCCCCTGAAAATATTTTTTCTTTTAATTACAATTTCATCATTTTTTCTGCACTTACCTGTGCAATTGGAGCAGGGGATGTGTTCATGTTCCTTTACTAGTCTTTCATAGCTTTATTTTCCCTCCCAGCTCCTCCTTTATCCTCAGATATTCTTCCCCTGTGCCTGCATGTTGCTGTGTGTGATTTAGTTCACATTCCATGCATATTTGCCATTTCTAGTAAAAAGCTAATGTTTTGATTCAGTTCCCATATCATGGGATGGAGGTGGAAGCAGTGAGAAGGTGAGAAACCAGGAAGAAGAAACATGCCTGGAGTTTTCACTGGATCTTAAGTGTCCCAGTATTCACCTGATTTCCTACTGGTTCAACTTCTGAGTGTCTTTAAATACATATTATGATATATTTCTGGAATTTTTTAAACTATTGAAATAGACATTTGGACTTTCATTAAAGTTTTTAGAAACTGAAATCACACAGCTGGTCAAGAAACTCACCAAGAGAAACGTAACTTGTGTTTGTAATTAAGGAGATTGCTAGTAATGGCTAGAAATCAAATTTAATTATTAATTAAAATTACTTAAAATTATTTCTATGCATTGTATTTAGAAAGAGAATTAAACATACATTTCAATCTGACATACTATACAAAATCATTTGGGGCATTTTTTTGGATGAAGGCTACTGATGGCAAAGTTTTCACAGTTATAAACTAGGAAGTAAAAGTCAAGTACAAGAAAAACTATTTTGAGAAATCTTTATTAAACATTGCAATACAATATTCAGTAGTAAAAAATAACGTGGTGCACATGCAGAGTTTTCAGGCAGGGCTCTCAGACAAGGCATGTGGTGAAACTGATTTGTTTTCAAAACATTCTTATTTATTACTTTACAAAGACTTACAAAAAATAGAGAAAATGTACAATTATCAAAATCTTTTTAGAGTCATTAACAAAAATCTAAAAATAAAAATTCCAGTTTTCATACACTATATACAACAAAAGCAAAAAGATTGCCTCAACTGAACCCCTAACTTCTGAGATAATTTGGCTATGGTCAGTGTCTGAAGTTTTATAGCATTCATTTAGTAAACCTGTTATAACTATTTTTTGTTAATGCATTTATTCAAAGATTCAGGCAAACTTTCAAAGTCAGTAGACTCTTTTGTAAACTGCTTGTTCAATTCCAAAACTTGCTTTCTTTTTCAGAATTTTTAAAAGAAACATCCACTAACACCTTTAAATATTGGTTCTCCCTATACACTGATAATAAAGAACAGTCTCCTGATTTATGACATATAAATCCAGTATAATTTTTTGAGAGTACTAGAAAATTTTCAGAAGATATTTGATGAAATTTTAAATGACAAACTGCATAATCTACTAAACAGCACTGAAAAAAAATGAAACAATAAAATGTCATCAACTATCCAAATAATAATCTACTTACAAATATTCCATTTTGCTTCTGAGCTTATTTAAAAACAGCTGTTGTAAATATTAAGTAATTTTGCTCTGATGCAAAGCATTTGATTTGACAGGGATTTCTACATTAATTATCCTTGGAGAATCATGTCCTGAATTTGTCCTATGGACTTCTGAACGCAAAATAAAACCAATGAGTAATTTTTCTAGTCCAGCAGAATTTTCAATCCATGACAGCACTGGATCACTTCTGTAACTCTAAATTTAGTCATACAATCTGATTATGTAAGATGAAAGGCAGATCTGGGCAGTGCAATCTGACAGTACATTTAGCCAGATACGTAAGAGCCTTTGCAAACACAGACCCAGCTAATAACTATGTTAACAGCTTTGGTATCCACCAGGGCCACCATAAAAATCATTACCTCTACCAAATGTCAGTATTCATTTTGCAATTTTATCCTACCTTACTTCGATGGCTTGACTTCAATTTTAGTGATAATCATTACATGGTCACGTTCATAACCTCAACAGAATCTACACCAACTGGTACCCACAGCAGTTACCTTAGTAATATTAAGAGGGTAAGTTCTGTGCAAATGTCTGTATAAGTGCAACATCACAGAACTCTAAAAACAATCTCCCTGTCAAACTAGCTGAGAAGACTAACATATGTTTGCACAAGGTAGTCTCAGTTTACTGAAGAGCTCCTGCTCCCCATGTCTGCTGATGATTTAATACAAAAATGAACAAGTAGCATCATTCTGACTACATTTTCTGAGTAAAACTCACCAGTTTAAACTCATCACTGCCTTTCTGGAGGACTGATGGATACTAGATTGCTTCCATCAACCTGAGCCAAGTGAAAATCTTAGCACTTCCGCTTGCCCTCAGATCACACAAAGCTGTATGCCTGGAAAGTAGTAAATACACCAAAGCACAATTCCCATTCACTTCAATACACAAACTAAAACTTCACACACAGAGGTTGAACTCCTAAGAAAAGTATAGATTTTTTAATACAGTCTCTGATCCCACCTCCCCCCAAAAAAATGATTACTTCCTGTCAGCAACACATCACTACACTACATCTTCAGCAACTGTAGTGTCAAAAATTTGGTAATAAACTTGCTGTTTTATTGCATCTCTGACGTTATAGGACTTGATGAAGCATTCCAGCCATGGCAAGTCATCTAGAAACAAAACCCAAATTACTGTTCAATACTAATTTCTAACTTTTCTAGGAGACAAGTATAACTTGAGCAGGATCTTAACGAGGATAACTACATGTATACAAAATTTAACAGGAAGAAAATTAATTAGTAACTTTGAAATTCCAATTGGTATCTTTAGAGTTTCCCGTACCATCTGAAATGGTGCTCAGTGACAGTCTTCCAAGACTTGCCCTCCCCACGCCAGCACCCCCCAAAACCTTTGGACCCAGCAGTTGTACCATAGTATATAATATATATGTAAAGACTTTCCAATAATAAAAATTCATCACCATGTGTCTCACTGAGGCAATTTCACTGGTGTCAAAGCAAAAATCATTTACAACCTTTATAAGAGGGCCACTTTTTGTATACTTCAGCATGGCTGTGGTGGTCACTGACAGCCACATACTTGGAGTATGCTCTGGAGGTCAGAGCTGCATCACACATCCAGCTACCTTGGACATTTGTAGTTTAGACAGAGCTACTTTCTGCCACAACACAAATAGTGCACAAAAACCTCTGTGAATGGATTTGGATTAAGTATTTGTTCAATTTCCATGATGCTTCCTGTAGCAAGGGGTACCCTAAATCAGCATGTGCAATCAAAAGCAGAGTACCACCCAAAGCATGTGCCATATGCTGAACTGCCTTTCAGTTTCCCTAACGTGCTGTGACATTCAGTACCAGTGTGTTCTAGTTAACTTCCATATGAATGCAAGTGACATGTCAATGCCTGCACAGGCATGGCTGCATTCACACATCACTGCATGCCACAGGAGAATTTACCAAACCACTACTTTTCTTTCTCAAAGGGAGTTCTAACAATAAAGAAATGTATCAGAACAAATTAATTGGAGCTCTGCTTACAGACTCCAGCATTTCTCTGAGTTTTACCTCTGCATAAGTTGAATTCTTTACATATGCAACAGCAGACTGAAGATCCCTTCCCTTCCCACCTCCCTTTTAAAATAAAGGCAAGCAAACCTAATTTTTTTCCTGGAGGACAGAGTGTATTCATGGTCATCTGCATCTTTTCCTGAAGAAAATTGTTAGTTAAGATTTCAGAGGCAGGAATTTGGAAAAACTTCTCCTGGAAGAGAACAGATAAGTATGAGGTGATGAAAGAGGGGTAATAGAACATTAGGCAGAACCCTGACTGCACATTCTTTTAGGAACTTAAACACAACAGAAGAATAATATTACTTCAAGAAACTGTTCAGACACACAAAGAAAACAAACTGTCCAAAAAAACTAACTGCCTGTACTTCAGTACTCCTGAGTATTTAGGGACTACCCAAAAAGCACACATGTAGGTCTGTACACATAACAGATATGCCTCATAAACCTCCATAACTAGACAATGTTACGGCCAAAGAAAATGGTCAGTACCCCTCAACAGTCCCTCAAGGCAGTGAGCAGAACATTTTGAGAGGAACAAAGTCACTCGAAAACAAGGGGCACTGCAACTTGCTCCATATCAGTGGAACTCCCTTAGCGTAAGTTTCATTTTTTGACAGTTTTAGAAAACTATGGAGAAAGGCTTATACTGTGGAGTACATTTCTGAATGGAGACAAAATAGAGAATTAAACATTAAATGAACATTTTCTGTGTTATTAAACCACATATAGTAAGCATGACTGACAAAATTCCAATCTTATTCTTTCCAAGTTCGTTACCTGGTTTTGGATTTCTAAAGGTTCATCACCTTATCAGTTCTCAGACAGAGATAAGGGTTTTGATAGCAATTTCTTCTTTTTGTTAGAAGGTATAAACACAGAATAATCTGCCCTTGTATAATTTTCGTATGACATGTTTAATGGCAGTGATCAGAAGTTAGCAGATAATCCTGCAGCAAAATTAACACAGATAAATACTTTCTCCTCTCAGTCTTCCAATTCTTCTTTTGACTGTAAAACTTTTTGATTTTTTTCCTTCACTGACTTTTGGTATAAAGAAGGAAGGAAAGAACTGACTACGTTCCTACAGAAGTGCAACTGGAAGCTAGTGTAAAGTTGCACTTCAAAGTAGCCCACTTTGTTCTCAAGGGGTGCTGAAGGATTGGAGTTTAGGATTGCAAGTATTGGCTTGTCTTTGAAGTCCCACCAGCAGGACTGCTAGCAGCTGGTGCTTCAGAAGAAATTGCAGGGTTTGTCCTGCCACTGAACTGTAGTACTGAGCAGTATCTGGTAAGAATGTGAGCCAACCTGAAGTAGAAATATTTGGAACTCAGCATCAAGAGATGCTCTAAAATCTTTTCCCCCACCTTCCTTTGGCCGTTTAGTTTCTCAATATAAAAGATGACCAGCTGAAATGGGGATTGCAGTCTTTCACCTCCTTTGCTGTTAATACACTCTGTATTTCAAGAAAACATGCTTACATTTTTTCTGATATTTTTACTTTCAGTCTTTAAATTAGACAAGGATGAGTATTCTCTTCAAAGTCCCATTCAAAGTCATTTAGTATAATGGTGAAAAATATGCAGATATATACACATTACACAGCATTGCTGTGTGGGAAAAAATCCTACTAAATTCTTTTTCTGTCCCATTTTGTCACACCCAAATTGTAGGGACAGGAAAACCATCTATTCTTCAGTGTAGTCTTAAGTTGCTTCAGAGAAAATTGAAGATAGGGTGATTCTAAGGTTACTAAAGTAGTTGAATAAACTGCTTCTGGTATCAAAGACAAGTATCTGTATAGATCTAGTTGAGTTCTGCCTAGAGAAGGGGAGGCCTCTTCTACCTCATGAAACAAAAAAATTAAAATCAAGCATTACTGAATGGGTACATTCTACTGAGAGTTAAAAAGAGAGGCCATAAGATTTTCAACTAATCCAGAAGTTACCTGCATAAATCCTGAAACACTCCCATCATTCACACAGCATTCAGGCTGCATAACTTAACACTGCCAATAATCGAGAAATATGGAAATACCAAAGTCGTTCTCTCTCTCAGTGTCTATCTATCTATCTACCTATCAATCAGCTTCAGTTTTGTTTTTAGGCTTTACTAATTCTATATTCTGGACAGTATTAACAACAACAGTATGGTAACTGTCCTCACAAACCACTGCAGGTATCAGAATTACTATTTCTGTATGTAAATTTGCTATTTTAAAAACAAATAAAACTGAAACCACGATCTGTAGTCTACCTTTACCTAGATTTACTTACATGATCAAAAAGGTATGCATTTAGTGCTCCTGTTCCATCAACCAGTGTAAACTTCATAACAAAAACATACTGGAGCAGTTCAATTCCTAAAACTGAAAAAAAACCACCAAAATTTAACATTTCTTGGAACGAATATGCAAGACAAACCACAACGACTCAGGCTGACAATATCCCTCCAATAGTAACTGCCTTTGAATACTGACATTAAGAGTGTAAACTGACCGACCAAAAAAACAGAGGCTCTGAACAGCAAAACAGAGATTTTGGATTTTGAGACCACACTGCAATTTGCCTAAAAACACTTTAATAAATGACTCTATTAAAATGTGAAAGATTTTAAAGTACTTCTTCTCATCCTAGCAAACAAAACTGCTAATATTTGCTTAGACCTTATATCCTACCTTGGAAGGATCCTCCTACTTCTGTTGTTTTATCCATGCAGGATTAAAGGAGACCTGCTCCTTTAATAAGGCATTTCACCTTAAAACTATCTTTTGAGAAAAAAGATTTGTTTCATATGATGTAGCAAAAGGCAAAATCTTATTCAGAGAAAATCTGTTGGCAGTTCTGAAAATATTCCAGCCTAAGTAAATGACTGTAGCCACTCCCTCACTGGCAGCAGTTACCATTGTGCTGCAAACAAAAAATAACTTGGAACACACAAAGTTACTGCAGCTCTGCATCAGTCTTTTCCGGGTACACCTACTTAAACAGGTAGCTATTTTATGTTCAACTGATCTGATATACCTGCAGGTTAGAATTTAGTCTGAAAATACAGATGATAAAAGCAGAATATACATAAAATAGCTTAGATGTCAGGAAGCATTTAATACTTATTTTTCAATTGGAGAATAAACTGCCAGTTGTATATTAGTTTACATTTATTTAATAGAACATATTTATGACATTTAAGAGAATCACTGTATTACTCAAATAGTTTTTTTCTTTATAAACTCTTTACCAAACCTAGATACTAGACACTGCTAGTTACTCGGAGAATATTTTTATGTTTATCAATTCATGTTCTAACATATTTTTTCCTTAATGTGAAGTTTTAAGCTCCACTTCCAGCATTTGAACATGTTGACTGCATACAGTAACACAAGGAGCACACAAAGCATGGAACACATTACATGTTGTGGTGTAATTCTTTTCATTTGAGTATTATTTCTTGCAGACTGTCCGGAATATGCTTACCATAAAGCTTACAGAAGAGAAAAGTCTAACTTGTAGGACTCATTAAATAAGACTCTTTTTAGTTCAGTTCAAAAAAACTATCCTCAAAAGGTATCAAAACTAACTTCTAGGACTGCAAGCATGTACACAGTTTAAAAATAACATCTGCAATCAAATTTTCATCACACCTATACTACAATAGGTGTTACTACTGATACCTATGGCAGAAGAAACTACTAAACATATAATACAATATGAATTAAAGGATTTTCTTTTCAAAAGTAAATATGCTATTTCAACTGGTAAAAGGTGAATAGATTTTACAGCATTATATTCAAACGTGACCATAAATTCCATACTTGCTGTAAAAAACTGCAACCCAAACTATTCCATACAAACACTCCAAAATCAAGGAACAGAGGGTTTCAGGACAGGATCATGTCAGCTGACCTTGTGCTATTTCAGCTGGTTCCCACGACGGTCGCTGTTCTGCTGCAATGGAACTTAGATTCCTGAGAGGCTTTGGAGTTGAACACTGCTTGCACCTAGCATTTAAAGCAAGATATTGAGACTCACCACTGATCTATTTATACTAGAAGTTTTCTGCACAGAAAAAAATTGCTAATTTTCTTACTCAGTGGGAGTATAAAAGTATTTCTATTGCTGTTTAAACAAACTACTTCACCAGACACACCAGCTTTAGACCACATCAAACCCCTTAATTATAACCTGCTATATATAACCCTATAATTAATAACCCTGCTTTTGAAATATCCCTGAGAACAAATCAATTTGGAAAAGACCACCTCAGTGAACAGACAGGAGTACAACCATACATCAGGGATGTGAGAGTTGGAGTTGTTCAGCCTGGAACATAAAAGGCTCTGGGGAGACTCCATTGTGGCCTTCCAATATATAAAAGAGGCTTATGAGAAAGACGGAGAGAAACTTTTAATCAGAGCCTGCAGTGACAGGACAAAGAACAACATTTTTAAACTGAAAGAGGGTAGATTTAGATTGTACAGAAGGAAGAAATACATTATAATGAGGGTGGTGAGGCACTGGAACAGATTTTCCAGAAATGTATTGGATGCTCCATTCCTGGAAGTGTTCAAGGCCAGGCTGGTTGGAGCTGAGCAACCTGGTCAGGTGAAAGGTGGCCCTGTCCAAGGTGGGGGAGGTGGATTAGAAGATCTTCAAAGGTCCCTTCCAACCCAAACCATACTAGGATTCTCAGATCCCTACACTGCTAAGCAGATATTCCTCTCTCAC